GTCGGGCCGCAGGCCCGACCATCGCCGCCGGCAGGCCAAGCAGGCCCGGCCCCTGCCGAACGGAGTTGCCGGCGCAGCGAAGCGAAGCTGGCAACTTCGTTTGGCGGAAGGGCGGGCCTGCTTGTTTTTAATACCCATATGTTTAACAGCTAGACACTGTATGCAGGGGCTTTTATCGCCCCAAGAGAATTTTGGTACAGTTGTAAATAAAATTTTAAGACTGCACATGGAATTTGAAGGCATATTTTTTATTTTTCATCAAAAGGGGTGGCTTCACACAATTAGTAATAGTAGAATGCAATAAACGAAAGGGTGTCTCGCTTTTAATGTGCAGGATCTCGTCGGAAAGGTAGGCAATGACAAAAACGGTTGATAGTTCATTTCAGTCCATGAAGGCGTTTGAAAAATAAAATTGATACTGTGTGAGAAGTAAAACGTGTTTAGGTAGCTTCTTATTGCTACTCTTTCCTTTGCTGGCAACATTTTCTTGCTATAATTATGAAGCTTTATATTTCTTGGAAACTAAAACCAATGTCTGTACGGAAATATGAGGAAATATGATCACACTGACAAATAAGAGACTAAAATGCATCCCTCTTGGGTTCTGCTGAGTTGTGTTGTCGTTGTTCTGCTAGATAGCCAATACAAATGTAAATACTCGACGCGTTTGAGGCACACTCTACAGGTAGACGACGCCATATGCGCCCACTTTCTGACCGCGTGATGTGGAACCTGCCTGAGGCATCGGGTCTCAATGAGGCCGCCTCACCGTGAGGCAACGGGTCTCACGAGACCAAATCCACCATCACACACAATCCGAAACAATCACACACAATCACGAAACAATCACACACAATCAGGTCATAATCTGACACAATGTTGCAAAATGCATCACAATATTTATTCAACCATCTGAAAGAATTCAGAAACAATCACACACAATCATACACAATCAGAAACAATTACACACAATCATACACAATCTGAAACAATCACACACAATCCACACAATCACACACAATATTAAACATTCACACACAATCATGACACAATTTTTCAAATTATATCCCAATATTGACCCAACAATCTGAAACAATCAGAGACAATCATCGACTCAATCATAAACAATCAAAGACAATCATCGACACAATCATAAACAATCACACACAATCTGAAACAATGATTGTCTAGACACAATCATGTGTACACTTTTTGACCAGTTCCACACCCCTCGGTATAACAACACTATTGGCTGAGCGATTAGCGAAGCCTATTACTCCGTCTAGTCGGAAAAAACTTTTTCTGTCTGTCTGTTTGTCCGTCTGTCTGCCTGTGTGTGTGTCTGTCCGCACGATAACTCGAGAACGAATTGAGCGAGCGACTTGGGATTTTCAGGGTCGTTTTCGATACCTCAGAGCGAAAACCGCTCAGTCTGCCGGAGCGCTACGACAACCGCTTTGTCTGCCGAGCGGTTTGGACAACCGCTCATTCGGTGGAGGTGCTCCGACAACCGCTCAGTCAGTCGACCCGCCTCAACAACCGCTCAAAAACTTTTTTGACGAAAAAATTTGGATTGGACCATCGAAAAGAGCATGGTCCAATTAGTCGAAATCGGTCAAAACATGAAAAATGTCAAAAAAGTCATTTGAGCGGTTGTTGAGGTGGGTCCGCTGACTGAGCGGTTGTCGAGGCGCCTTCACGGAATGAGCGGTTGTCCAAACCGCTCGGCAGACTAAGCGGTTGTCGTAGCGCTCCAGCAGACTGAGCGGTTTTCGCTCTGAGGTATCGTTTTGTGTCATAAAAAGACAGATCGAGTTCGAAGATGGGCATTCTAGCTAAAAAATTGGATTTTAAAAAAATCAAAAACAACGGGTCCCAAAAAAGACGTTTTTTAAAATTATTTTTTTATGGTTTCCTAAGGGGTAACTCGTCAAGGTAGAGCCTCTCGGCGAAAAGTTTGTCCGTTTTGGTCAAGCTGAAACCGTTGAGGCGCTAGAGGGTATTTTTGACGAAAATAAGCGAAAAAATGTACAACCCTGCATGCTTAGTCGAGGTGATTGGCCGTTGACGGACCGTAGGCCCGTACCTTTGTGTACATTTTCCCACTACCCGACTCTGGTGTCAGCGCCGCAGGCCAAGGTAGATGTATGCCAGGCGCGTCGCAGCGTA